ATTAAGCCCCGTAAAATTGTGCCATCGCTCATTGGACTTTCTGGTTTGCAGGTCCGAGCCTCGGTGCACGGTTATCGTGCCTCGATCTGCAAGACGTCACGAAATGCATCTGCGCCGAGATATCCGGAAACGTTCGCGTCGATATCGGCTCGGAGGCAGAGGCTGCGAGCGAATCGCGATCTTCCAGCCCGGAAATGGCTCACACCATACGGATCGCGATGAGGCAGCAGGATCGCGCGAGCGACGACTGGATCGACAACGACGACGGCGAGGAAACGGAAGGAAACGGAAGATCGAGGCCGGAAACGAGCCGGAGAAACGCTGCTCGGTCGAGGAAGGAGATCGCCAAGGAGGAGGACGCGTCGTGCAACGACGGTGTGAACGACGCCTTAGATTTCACGTTGAATTGCAGCAGCGTGCGGCTGACGTGCCGTGACACGAGCCTCAGGACGGGGACACCCCGTTGAAAAGCAACAGAGACCGGAAACGCGGAATTAATCTGCGCGCGGGGTTTTGTCCGCGAAACGTTCGAATTTCTGCCTGCACGGACAATGGTGGGTCGTTAATTGTTCTTCCCGATTCGGGAGAAAAATGTGTTCTGTTTCAAGAGAGGTCGTGTAATGAAACAACGTTGGGAAAAACTTGTCGCTCCGCTGGCAAGTTAATTGAGAAAAATCCGATGTAACGGCGTTTCCCAACCGCGGCGTTGTTGTTCCCCAGTGGAGAAACTTTATTTTTATGGCGGCGCGGTCCTGATTGAGTACAGGCACGTGTAATCAAAAGAGTGACACTTGAATTGATATTTTTTAAACTTGCACGCGATGTACGACGTATGTATGTATGTATGTATGTATGTATGTATCTATGTACGTAGAGAGATGAATTTTTGAAACGAGCAGAATTTCTAATTTTCTGAAGAGATTTCGGTTTCCTAGGATGTTGGAATATCATCAAACGCACAGTCTAATAGTACTGCTGTCTATCGGAAATCCACATATCATGCAGAATGTCCTCAATTCGTAGTAATCACGTGGAAGTTCATGCTTTATGAATAATATTCGCGTAATTTAAATGGACGATTACGAGTGAAACTATGATCGACGAGGATGTTTAAAATCACGAGAATAGTAACAGCTGTAAGACACAAACAGATAGAGGATGTATTAACTAATTACGCGCAAGTAACGCGCGTCAAATATAAAGATCTTTCAAAGGAATCTTTTAAGAGAACATTCGAGAAATCAAGGAAAGTACGATCGAGGGCACGATCGATTTATCTCCAATTTTCTTTCCAAAGAAGAAGAACGTTTCGTGTTTATTTGCCCGATAACGCGAAACGATCCTCTGGTCACAGAACAGAGCAAACGAGGGTGAATCGCAGCCGCGTGAATTCCATCGGCGCGGCGCGGTTTTTTACCAAAGCGCGATCGTGACGGTTCGATGGCGAGGCGGTGCTATCGAAACGTCGAGTTACGATGGCAGCGCGCGGCGCAGCGCGGCGCGGCGTCCAACCAGAAAGGAATTCGGCCGCGAACGATCGATCCCTCATCGCGGGAACGTTCGAATTAAAGGAATTCCGGCGCTGCGATCGCGTCGATGCCATTAGACCTTTTTATCCCTGCCGATGGAGAAAAAAAAAAAAGAAAAGGAGAAAAAGTCTGTGTCGGAGAGATCGTGGCGAAGGAAAGCTCGCCTGGCCCGGAACCATGAATCTCGCGCGCGGCAATAAATCGCGAATCGTTGCCTCGATTTCCACGAAACTCGCACCGACGTGCCACGCATACACACGTACACATACGCGCGCACACTCGTGCCCGCGCCCAGTTAGCCCTATTAATTAGCTCGCCTAATAAATCGCGACTGGCCCGAGGAACGAGACTGAGAGAACGCGTTAGCTGTCGTCCTTTTACGCGAAAGAGAGAAGAGACGATACTACAAGTAAAAGGAACGTGGAAAAGAAGAAGAAGAAGAAGAAGAAGAAGAAGAAGAAGAAGAAGAAGCAACGTACGAGTTTCGTCTCGCGGTGGACCAGCACAAGAGATGGGAATCGTGAGTCTAGGCTGGCCCCTTGGAAGGCCAAGCCAGCCCAAACCGGGTGAGAGAAGTTGGCCGGCTTCTCTCCTCTTCGTCCCTCCTATTCTCTTTTATCCCGTGTCTCTTTTATCCTCTCTGATATCCCCTTTGCCCCGCATTGAGCGCCTGGTCGCTGTTCCTCCTCCTCGCATTTTTATTTTGTCTGTGCTGTGTGCTGTGCTGCTCCTTCGTAGGGCGAAAATGGTTCATGGCCGTTCCTAACCGCCGATTTCGTCGCGGATCTTCGCCACGAGGATCAACCTCTAGTCTCCTTCTCTCTCTCTCTCTCTCT